TTAGAACTGAGCGCGAGTCTCACCTTAGAACTGAGCGCGAGGCTCTAAGCGCGAGGCTCACCTTAGAACTGAGCGCGATGCTCACCTTAGAACGAACGCGAGGTTCGTTTGATTTGAGCGCGATGCTCACTTGAGAACGAACGCGAAGTTCGGTTAAATTGAGCACGTGGCTCACCTGAGAACGAATGTGAAGTTCGTTTGAAGCTTTCAAGCCTCGCCAAAATCTGAGGTAACCACCTCCTTAATTTTCGCCACGTTTTCACGCACGAACCCTTAGGGTTTCAATCTGAAACCGTCGCCGCCATTGCTCCTGCACCCAAAGGTCGAAACCCTAGGGTTTCCTGACGTCGCCGTCGCCGTCGGAGTCGAGAGCGAGGCCGCCAGCGACGTTGCGCCGACGAGGAGCACGAGACCGATGACCAAAAAACCAAATAGATCCAAAAATTCTCGATTTTATTTCAAAAACAGATCCAGAATAAAAAAAAAATTTCGTGATCCAGATCCAGGAAAAAATCGAAGAAAAATCCAAAAAATTCCAAAACATTACTGTTCATCCAAAAAATAAAAACATAACTGTTCATCCGAACGTTACTGTTCATCCGAGAATAATTCTTAATCAAAACCAGAGATTTTAAGATAAAAAAACCTAATTTTTTAAGAACTTAAACCCCTAAGAATTAATCACATGTGGCTCTGATACCACTTGTTAGATCTTATAAAAACTTGAGATCTAAACCATAAAGCCATGATTAATTCAAAGAGATTTACAAGAATCAAAAGAAAAGAGCGGAAGCTTATACCTGAATTCATAGATTAAACTTAAGATGAGTTTTGGATCTTCTAACCTTAGGGTTTCTCTAGCCAAATTTCTCTCTAGATGGGGGTGAAGAGAATTAGAGAATGTAACTCTAGATTAGGGACCATAACCCCTTATTTATAGATGTTGTATATTTATAATTTGGCCCCTCATCAAATCACAATTACAACCTGGTATCTGCACATATAACCTCATGATTATATTTAAATACCCATTAACCCAAATTGATTGATCACTTTAGTGGGTTATCCTGAAGGATAACATACACACAGATTAATCATATGTGTCCAAAAATAGATTTAATTAGATTTAAATCCAACAAGAAGATACAAATCCAGGTCGTGTTTGGATTTGGTATTATTTTGAGTTGATAAGTATTCATAGTTTAAAAGTGTTTGGTTTAAAATATGGGAGGGATTAGGTTGGACTATTTAGTCATTAAAAAG